GATTAGCCCCCTGACCAGATTCACCAGGTAAGTGCATGAAAGGCATGCACTTTGGGAAGGCAAAGCAGGCATGGGAGCCCACAGCCAGGCAAAACGCAAGCCTGCTTTGTGCAGCCACAGCACCAGTTTTTGAGTGACCGTTTTTTGCACAAGATTCAGAAACTTGAGTTTTCGTCTCACCGAAACACAGTGCTGAAAGCAATCCCCACTATTTGGTCAGATGACAACTGGACTACCCAATCCCAGCACTACCTGGAAGAAAACTCTTCTTCCCTCTCAATGCTTTCACAAATAGCCAGCTACAACACTTGCCAAGTTTTGGCACTTGAAGGCGGACCGTTTTGAACTGATGCAGTTTCAGCATCCAAAGTTTTAGGTAAAATATGGCCTGACTATTTGGCAAAACCTGGGTTTGGTGCCAAGGTCACATGAATTCAGTGTCCAGAAGGAAATCGGGTGGTTTCAGGGAATGATGTAATTTTTGGTTTATTTCCTGGTTTATTAACTTGGCAAGTATAATCTTGGACTAATGAGCTGTAAAACACTGAATATTACAGATCTTAAAGCAATGCAATTAGAACTCTAATTTTGTTCTTCAAAGCCATGAGAGAGAAAATATCTGGTTTGTTTTATTGCGCCCTTTAACAGTTGTGCCCAAGGGACACTCGAAGCAGCGGAAAGCTGCATTGGCAAAGTTAACTGATATGCAATCAGGTGCAGGATTCAGGTTCTGCTCATTAAGTTCCATTAATTCCCTACAACCATCTCCAAGAAAAGGAACAACATAATTCTCTCCTGCAATATTATTAAGAAATTTATATATAGTTCCCCATTTTAGCTGCAAGGCTTCTGTGAGGATCGAAAATCAGAAAGTTGTTAAGGTAAATTTATGTACAGTCTCCAAACTGGAAACCAGACCAAAAATTGCACACTTACTGTTATCTGTAAAACCTGAAAGTATTACACAAAATTAATGCAAAAAGCTTAAGTTACAACAAATACAAGTAATATTTTAGATTATTACCAATTTTAGTATTTTTAACATCAGTTACTGTTACTGAGGCAATACTTCAAGTATGCTTAAGTTACCAGTATCAGAAAGGTACGCCATCAGATACTGAGATTGTTTAAAGTAATTGTAGGGCTGTCAGATTTCTTCAGAGGAAACATTATGATGGTTTTCTCCACAAAATTAATTAATTACAAATCAGAAGCAAGTTCAGTATTCTGGTAAATACACATAACCCTAAAGATACTAACTAACAAAGTGCATATATGTGAACATTAGCTCGGTAGCTGTCTGGGACTAAAGAACCTGTCCAGAGAGAAACACAGGCATCCCTGCCACACCTTTTTATTGCAAGAACCAGTGCAGCAGAAAGTGTTGAAAACAAGCTAGGCAAACGCTGTCTGACACACGAATATCTCAGCATTGCACTCCTGGTGCAGCCACGAACATAGCAGAGGTTTAATTTACTTTGCTTTCTACAAAGCCAACCTGTATCTAGTGGGATTTATCTGTTCAGATTTCATGCCTTGCAAAAGTATTCGTACCAGCCGGGAAACACAAGCTCTCGCTGGAAGCAGGAAAGCTATGTCCATGCAGTCCTACATCTCAATTAACAAGCTGGTATAATATACTATTGGAAATCTTAACTATCCAACTTAAAATAATGAAGAACTGATTATTGTATTTTTACAAGACAGTAATCAAAAGCTCCTCTGCACTAAAAGCAGAGTACATCTATTGCAACAACAAAAAACAAGTTTACATAATAAAAGGTCTGACCTTTTAAACGGTTAAGCACATTACTAAATCATCCTTGTGTGAGGAGCTCAATTTCAGGCAATAGCATGAGTCATATGAGTAAACTTGGGTGTTTGGAAAACTTGCCTAAAGTAAGGTTGGAAAAGCTGAATTGCTTAACTCTTTCCATTAAAGAAATATAAAAATGCCTTACTCTTGAGAAACCAACAGGTCGTTAAAACTCATTCGAGAGAGGTGTAAAATTAAATACACCAAAAATTACATCCAAAAAATACATCAAAATTGAAAAAAAAAAAGAGTAACACAAGGAACAATTTAATATTTCTTTTCCAGCCTCTGCCTACTCAAATACATTTTTCTTCTTTATGTTTGACTACAAATGTCAAAAGTTCTTCATGTTCTTTGTTAGGGCATTCACACACCAATTCATTAATCTGAAAATATCTCTCCAAAATAACACTTTATTTTCCTCATTTTATCATATAGGTAAGTCATATCAATTTGATAATACTGACTGCAACCCTGCTTCTCTCTTGCTCTTGAAACAATGTTTTACTGCCAGAACGTGCTAAGTATTGATTCCTCCCTGCCTTCAATTTCAGTTACTGTTATCAGCAGATCTAAAAAGCAAGGTAAGTGGGACAACTTTGACAACTCTGGCATAAAAACTTAAAACTCGGAGCGTCCACCAGTTCACAGAGTCTAGCATTTTGCCATCATAAGCAATCACATAATAGAAATGTATCAGAAAGGACAAAAAAAAAAAATCCTGGTACCCACTAACCACTAGGACAGCTCTTCCTGTTCCCCAATTGGAAATCTTTGGTGCAAATAAAAAATCCAAGGCAGAAAAAATACTGTGCCATGTAAGAAACATAGATAGATAGATAGATAGATAGATAAAAGGGCATGGGTGAAAAAGCCTAGATGCTCCCAGGAAATGACCACATGCCACACTACAAAGTTAAAAAAAACCCATGGGGTTATCAGCCTGATGCAGGAGAACTTTCCATAAATGAGGCCTAAGAAATGGCAATCTAATTAGCATGAACATTTGCATCAGATGCAGTATTTCTGCAGCGCATCCATTTGTCCCAAAATAAGACTCCATTTCCTCATGTCGAAAGAAGCAAAGCCTGCTGATGTGGCAGACCCCAGTCCACATGTCGACTGTAATTAGATTCTGTTCACACCATGGAAAACATTGACATCAGGTTTATGTAAGATCTTATCCCTCCTGAAGACAGTCCAGTCTTTCATGAAGTAACAGGAGTCATCTTGTCACAACTCCTTGCCATAAAGGTAGCATGCAACTTCTGGCAGAGCAGACCTCTGTTAAAGGCTAGTAGAAATATTGTTGTTGGTATGAACGAAATAAACGAAAACGTGTGTGTGAAAATCGCTGGAAAAAACAACAGAACAAGGGTTAAAAGAATGACCCGTACTGATAATGAGTAATCCTGTTAGGAGCAGTGTCCTGGGAAAAGTAAAATTGAGGAATGGGTTGTGTTTATGAAAACCAGTAGGCCTGCCCTCTGTAAGATCACAGCACAGTGACTCATCAGCAGAAGATCCTGCCTTAATGACATGAGGAGGATGGAAAGTTGAAGCACATCACATATGACATTCCTTTTCCTGTACGACTAACAGGAAAACAGATGTGTATTTAGGAAAGAAAAAAAAAAAAGGAAGAAAAACAGTTAACAAGCATGAACTTCACTTAAGACTTATGGAGACTTCAGATTCTTTCTTGCATCAAAGGATACTTTATATACAAAGCTGAAAATCACAAAAGATCTGTCCAAAGACTAGTTCATCACCACTGGTGAAACAACCTCAGAGATGCGATGAGGATCTGATAGCCAGTGCCTCCTGTGTTGCACAAAAGAGGTCCTGGCCAGACCAAACACACACACAACTTGGTGCTTGTAAGTATGATCAGTTTGACAGTGCGAGTGAATCAAATTTATGAGAGATTGAGTGGAAGCAGGTAAAGTCAGCATCACTTTCCCTTTTCATAAGACCCTGCACTGCATTTTGTTACGTTACAAGTCATCCTCCAAATCTTTAAAAAATGGGATTGGAGCTGCAATCAAAAAACGGTTCAAAACCACAGTGTAATTCCACTGATATTTTTACACAACTATTTGTTGTAAAGCTTGGATAAGAGAAGAGAGAGAGTACACAAACAAAAAAAACTCATTAAGTTACGAATTATTTTCTATTTTTTAATTCACAATTGAATGTTCGGTATAAATTAAGTCAACAAAATTCATTTTTCTGCTTTTCCAACTATACCTTTAATTCACAGTTGTAAAGATCTTAGCAAAGCATTCTTGTGTGATCTAATCTAGGTGGTCCTGCTCCGGCAGGGGGATTGGACTAGATGATCCTTTGAGGTCCCTTCCAATCCCTAACATTCTGTGAAAGCATATCAGTATTGTAGTATTTCTAGAAATTAACTGTTGCTTAGATAGAAGTTAACCAGAATTTCTGTTTTGAAGACTGTTGCCATTATTCTCCTAAAGGCAAGATGCATCTTCTCAGACAGCCATGGGTTGGAAAACAATAACTCAGAGAAACTTGCTAAATCATGGAGAGCAAATAAAAAAAAAAAAAAAAAATCACACCTTATTTATACCTTGGTAAATAACCACATCTCAAAATTACTTGAAATTGTCAAAATAATAAATTAGAAAGAGATATCAACATTTCTACGTGCAAAGGTGTATCAAAAGATACAGTATCAGATGATACTGTAACTGTAGCTCCAAATCAGATTTTTTTCCCTCTCACCTCCTCAGTTTTTTTTTTTTTCCAATTGACTTCTAAAAAGCTCTAGCCTATCTATTTTGAGTATGGATTACACAGTTCCTTGTTACTGACAGAAAATACGTTTCAGTTCTTACTTTCTACTTAAATACAAGGATTCATTTATGTGCTAAAGAAACAACATTCTTCAATACATTAACATTTTACTTTTTTTCCAAAGCACAAGTAGCCAAGAGAGTGAGGAGTTTTCAACACAGACCAAAAGCTATTCCATTTCATTAGATACAGTCACTAAATATTTACTTACTTCTGGAAGAAAAGTTTCAAGCTACTTACTCTCACACAATGCTAACCAACAATGCAGTAGTATTTTATATTCATTATACTTTACACATAAAACACAATAGGTCAACTTTTTTTTTTTCCTTAAAGCCACCATAAAAACAAATAGAAAGCTTACCTTCTTCTGGTACCAAACTATAGCATCGGTTACTTTGGACGCCATTTATTCCACTGAATTCACACAGTCATTTTAGGCTGTTAACAGAAAAAGACAGAACTTTACTTCCACCTTCCCTACAAAGGCCAACATAGGGAATGTAGAAACACTCCCATTACCTGCAAAGCACTTAATGGCTATCCTTACTTTTACACCTTGCCTCATTACTATTTTAGTAAGAGTTTGGGATTTCTCCTCTAATTAAATAAAAAACTACAAATCTGCTGCTACAGGACATCCGAAGCCTCATTAAACACAGATGGCACAGAGACAATCTGTTATTGTCTCATGACAATATCATGAGTTATATTACCTACAGCAGTTTTGGTTTTTTGGGTTTGTTTGGTTGGGGTTTTTTTTTAATAAATTAAGAAACTTAAAATTATTACCACAGCACAGTATTCTGAAGTCCTGGAATAACTGTTATAAAATGCAAGACAGTTTCATACAGACAGCCTATTAGATATTTTTGGAGGGAAAAAAAAAAAAGCAGTGCTAGATCAGTCCTGTAGTAGGGCCTGTTGCAATAGGACAAGGGGTAATGGTTTTAAACTAAAAGAGGGCAGATTTAGACTAGACGTAAGGAAGACATTTTTTACAATGGTGAAACACTGGAACAGGTTGCCCCGAGGGGTGGTAGATGCCCCATCCCTGGAAACATTCAAGGTCAGGTTGGTCGGGGCTCTGAGCAACCTGATTTAGTTGAAGATGTCCCTGCTCACTGCAGGGGGGTTGGACTAGGTGACCTTTAAAGGTCATTTCCAACACAAACTATTCTATGATTTCTGATAAAAATATCACACTTATCATAATATTGTCAATATCAACACACTATTGCACCTTATTTTTCTTTATTAAAAGGAAACAGGAATTATTAATAGGTAGGCAGTTTCTACAGTGAAAGATTAAAGGTGATCTTTGTCTTTAAAATAAAGATAAGACATTTGTTTACAGCATTTGCACCAATAAGAAAGGCAAAGAAAAATACAATGTCCAAGAGATGGGATGGAAACTGAACAATAGATTAAAATAAAAGTGTCTTTATGAAATGCCTAAGCATTAGAATAACTTGTGACACTTTATTATACATTGTTCATCACCAAAAATTTCAGGTTTTTTTTTTTTAAAAACAAACAAACAACAAAACACATATTAGATTACCTGATCATAACAGCTGTTTGCACGAAAATCACAAATCCTCACTCTACAAAAGCCCTATCAAGACTAACATCTTCCAAGGCGTTTCTTGGAAGGAAAAGATGATCCTCCAAAATGCTCAGTTCTGCACGGACACCTATTTATTCAGTCTTCCCTGACTCATGTATGGACGTACTTGTATTTTACACAGTCTAAATTACTTTAAAGATACTGTATTTAGTAAGTTGGGATATGTATCATATACTCTATAGTACGATCTTTCAACAAATGGATTTTATACCACTTCCTGAGGATTTCTAAGAAACATAATGCCACACATTTTCATGTTTCACAAAGCTTTCTTAAAAAAGAGAAATCGAATACCCAAGAGGAACTATATTTAAGATTTCTAACAGCGTAACACCAATATGCTTTATACAACTTCAGAAAAAATTACAACACAATATAAAGAAATGTCTCTGACAGAGCTTAGACAGTCATTAGCAAATTTCAGAAATATCAGGACACTGGCTTTTGGTACAACTGAGCAAACAAACAGCGCATTTTTTCCACTGTTGATAATATCATCGTGTAAGTCACACAAGCCAGTTAAAGCTAGAAGCTATGACTGTGTCAACATCTGTAATTGTTTCTGACCTATTTATTTCTGATAATAGCAGCAATTTTTCTAAGAGCAGCTATCAGTTATTTAGAATTCATAGGCACAATAAATACAAAAATACTTCTATCACATGAAGCATGGAGCCCAATAGAGACTTTGATATAACTTGGCATATTACATAGACTGGTTACCCTTCTTTCTCACCCACACAAAGCTTAAACAGGATTTGCTTTCTTGTTTGAAAACCTGTTTAAATGAACTTAAATTTAAAATAGTTTGCTACACTGGACTATAGACTCGAAGTGACATAAAACCCCTTAGTCATGTCCAGCCTCCACGCTTAACGTGACCTACATCACACAGTCACAGTGAATGCAGTTCCACAGCTCACAGAGGTGCTGATGTAGAAAGGACATCACAGGGATTTTGATCGCACTCGCCTTCCCCTCCGGTGTGAACTCATCTTGGCAGGATCTTTAATTCTTTCTCATGTCTCTGAAACCAACACCCTCCCTCACATACAATATACCCTGCTTCCTACCACCACAATTACAGGAGAAAAAGGCTGGAGAAACTCATTATTGGCGGTAAAGAACTAAATGTTGAACCTGCAGAGAAACCTTTCCCTCAACACCTACATTAACTTGATTGATCTCTCCAAAGTCAATGATTTTTCAGGAAACCAACACTTAACTTATGAATACAAGACTTCCAACTGTGTCAAATATGGCTGAAATGAGATAACTAATTTTAAAGGCAGCAACATTTTTTGCAGTAGTTCTCCAATTCACTCAAAAATCCTTTGCCTCGAGAAACAATTAAATCACAAAACAATAAACCAAGTATTATGAAGTAGTTTTATTATTAATTTATTTGATTATCTAGATTACTCACAGTTTCATACTTTTAAGAAACTCTCTACATTAAATCCTCCATAGAGTCTATTTTGGTGGTGTTTAAAGTGTATTTGCATACACATTTGCATACACAAATGCAAAGAAGATGCTTACAAAAGTAAATATGACAAGATCATGGGATTGATTTCTCAAAAGAGTTTATCAGCATTTGGTGTGCTAACTAAAAATACCTCTATAAGGAAATACCACATACTTTCTTCAAGACGTATACAATTTCTGAGACAGCACTAAAATTAAAGGTGAAAAGGTCATTTAATTGATTCTGGATATTGTTTCTGCTTGCAGGGCTGGGATTTGTCTGGGGTTTTTTGGTTTTTTTATTTTTTGAGACAGTATACTGAGTTTGATACACTTGGCCTGAAGCCGACTTATCTGGATGAGAAATGGATGGTAACAATTCCGGGCACTTAGCTGCAGCCCCGGCTCTGACTCTGCATCTGCCCACAGCTCGCTGAACACCTCGCCGGGAGACCAAGTATTGCAACAGCTTCAGAACTCTGCGTATTCATCACAAGTTACTATTTTGTTCAGCTGACACTGTGCATTGCTGTTGATCCTGAAGTCAGGCTGCACAAACTGGGCTTGAAGGCACATCACTCCCAAGTGGGCAGGTGGGCAAATGGAAACAGCTGATACACATCCACAAGCAGAACAGAGCACTGCCTATTCTTCTGCCTTGCTCTCCTCCCATCCTCTCCGATCTGGCTAATTGTTTCGTGTTCTGTGTCCTGCATCCGGGACAGGGACCAGCTTTTACATTCAGTTGTACAATGGCCTGTGCAGAGGAACCACAGCAAGATTAACAATCTTAACTACTTGGAGATTTAAGAGCAACATAAAAAATACTTCTAATTTTGAGAGATTAGACAGAACATCCAAATGTATAAATTTGATCACAACATAGAATCATAGAATGGTTAGAGTTGGAAGGGACCTCAAAGATCATCTAGTTCCAACCCCCCTGCCATGGGCAGGGAAACCCTCTACTACACCAGGTTGCCCAAAGCCTCATCCAACCTGGCCTTGAACACCTCCAAGGATGAGGCATCTACAACTTCTCTGGGCAACCTGTTCCACTGCCTCACCACCCTGTGAGTGAAAAATTTCTTCCTTACATCTAATCTAAATCTGCCCTCTTTCAGTTTAAATCCATTGCCCCTTGTCCTATCACTACACGCCCTTGCAAAAAGTCTCTCTCCAGCTTTCCTGTAGGCCCCCTTTAGGTAGTAGAAGGTTGATAGAAGGTCTCCCCGGAGCCTTCTCTTCTCCAGGCTGAACAGTCTCAACTCTCTCAGCCTGTCTTCACAGCAGAGGTGCTCCATGATCCTCGGATCATCTTTGTGGCATCCTCTGGACCCGCTCCAGCAGCTCCATGTCTTTCTTGTGTCGGGGACTCCAGAGCTGAACACAGTATTCCAGGTGGGGTCTCACAAGAGCAGAGTAGAGGGACAGAATCACCTCCCTCGATCTGCTGGCCACGCTTCTTTTGATGCAGCCCAGAATACGGTTGGCTTTCTGGGCTGCCAGTGCACATTGCCGGCTCATGGTGAGCTTCTCATCCACCAGCACTCCCAAGTCCTTTTCCTCAGGGCTGCTCTCAATCCATTCTCTGCCCAGCCTGTACTTGTGCTTGGGATTGCCCCGACCCACATGCAGGACCTTGCACTTGGCCTTGTTGAACTTCACGAGGTTCTCACAGGCCCACCTCTCCAGCCTGTCAAGGTCCCTCTGGATGGCATCCCTTCCCTCCAGGGTGTCCACAACACCACACAACTTGGTGTCATCAGCAAACTTGCTGAGGGTGCACTCAATCCCACTGTCCATGTCACCAACAAAGATGTTGAACAGCACTGGCCCTAGTACTGATCCCTGAGGAACACCACTCATCACCGGCCTCCACTTGGACATTGAACCGGTGACCACAACTCTTTGAGTACGACCATCCAGCCAATTCCTTATCCACTGAGTGGTCCATGCATCAAAACCATGTCTTCCCGGTTTAGAGACAAGGATGTCGTGTGGGACAGTATCAAATGCTTTGGATAAGTCCAGGTAGACAATGTCAGTTGCTCTTCCCCTATCCAGCAATGCCATAACCTCATCATAGAAGGCCACCAAATTAGTCAGGCAGGATTTGCCCTTAGTGAAGCCATGTTGGCTGTCACCAATCAACTCCTTATTTTCTAAGTGACTTAGCATAGTCACCAGGAGGATCTGCTCCATGATCTTGCCGGGCACAGAGGTGAGACTGACTGGCCTGTGGTTCCATGGGTCTTCTTTTTTCCCCTTTTTAAAAATGGGGGCTGTGTTTCCCCTTTTCCAGTCATTGGGAACTTCACCAGATTGCCACGACTTCT